ACCTGGAAGCCCCTTCCCCCTCTCACCCTTGTCCCCACTTCTGTTGCTGGGCTCAGAAGGGGCTGGATCTATGTGTGCATAGGGGCCATAGTCTGCGGAGACCCCAGGAGAAGGTAAGGAAGGGGAACACCCTCATTGCTACCTCTTCTACTCTCTGGCTGATCAGGGCAACAGGGTAGTGATCTGAGGGTGAAGGGGCTGATAGGGCTGCAGGAGGAAATTTGAAGGTGGAAAGGATGATTCATAGTTGTGGGGGTGATTCAGGTGGTAGAGGGGGCAGCAGCCTGGCAGCTCTCTTCTCACCCACTCTCCCCCCCTGCCTCCTCCCTCTTTCCCCTTCCACTCCTGACCTCCATTCTATCTTTCCCATGTCCCCCTTCCCCTGGCTTCCCTACCCCACTTTACTCCTTTTCCTTTCCTCTCCACTCATCTACGGCCCAGCTGTTCCCAGCTGTCAGTCCAGGGCCATAGAGTCCTGAGTGTTAGCTAGTCCACCTGGAAACAGTGCCTCCTAGGATACTGGTAGGAGGACTGCAAAGTGGTGGTTTTATCTCAGGTGAACACCCAAAAGTTAACTTAACTTGAGCTAGACAGAACAGTTAAAAAATAATCCATGCCAGAAGTGGTGTAACGTTAAGGCACCTAGAGGACAGTCAGTACTTGTTAATGAGCCTAAATGTATGATCCTTGAAGTCTGATGTGCTCTTAATATGATCTAACTGTAATGTGTAATCTCACCCTAAAACAGGTAGATTAATAGGTATCCTGTTTAAAGGAGTTAGTAGACTGCTTGGCAAGCTCTGCAATTATTAATGACAAAATAAAACAGGAGGAAAAAAGAGCAAGAGAGCCATCAGACAGGAAGAGATGCAGTTATTTAGTCCTAAAATGAACCAGACAGACAAAGCTCCTTTTGGCATAGAACTGACTGGTCAGGCAGTCTGTGAAACTACAAGCAGGGAACAAGGTTTGCTGCTGTTTGTTTCCACTATGGTCAGGGAAAGAGAACTGCGTGGATGTTCATTGTACAAAACAAATGTATCGATGAATACACCATGCTTGGAGAACCTGTTTTCCTATTAATGAAAATAATCCTGCCATGACCTAAATTCTGTTCAGCTGCATAGGCCAAAGTGACAAAAATATCCAGACATAAGATCATGGGTATGTACATGACTACTTCTTGACAAATCCATGACTTACGATATTTCATTAAAAAAGAATCTTTGCTGTTGTCATTCCAGGATGCCTAATTAAGATAAAACTCTTGGTGAGTATTTTATATTTAAATGTGGCTCCATTTTTAAATTTCTAGAGCCTGGGATTTTAAGATGGAATAAACGTACGTGTGTGTGTGCACGCGTGCATGCACACATGCATTGTGAGTTTTCTTCCTTTTAACTGCAATGAGACTTCTGAACTTTTTCTGCTAACCATTTCAGTACAAGGAAGAAGAAACGTCAAGCACCATAGTGTAATGAAACCTACGTACCTTGCCTTTACAAACCACAAGTTCTTAGCTATGCAATTGTGATTAGCCCTATCAAGTTCAATGGGACAACTATGTGTATAAAGTTAAACATATGAGTAAGTGTTTACAAGATCACTGCCAAAGTTAAAAATAAGTTAGTTAATGGGAACTTTATAATAGAACTGATCCTTCCCTCATTGAAGTCTTTTTTTAAAATGGAATTCTTACCATTGACTTCACCAGGGAAAAGGACTAGGTTTTGTTGATTTATTTTAAGACATTACCTAATGCATTTTAAACAGACTATAGAGGTCTGTTCCGAGTCTAGTACTATGCAACATTTTCATTAACAACTTGGATGATGAAATAGAGACTATACACCAACCAGGGAGGGATTACAAGTGCTTTGAAACATGAGTTTCAAATTTAAGATGATCTTGAAAAAGTACAGAAATGGTACAAATTAAGGTAGATGAAATTCACTAAAGACAAGTGCAAAGAACTATACGAAGGAAGAAAAGATGAGATAGCCATTTATTCACTATTTTGTGTAAGTCAAAGTACTACAGAAGAGGATGTGGTGGCTATAGGATACAATTCAACAAAGGCAAGTGCAAACTACTGCACCCAGGGAGAAGCAATCACCAACACACTTACAGGTTGGAGGAGGACTTTCTCAGCAGCACAGCGACAGAAAGGGATCTCAGAGTCATTGCTGACACCAAGATGAACATGAGTCATCAATGTAACAAAATGATCAGTAAAGCTAACCGGCCTTTTCATGCATTAGCAGGTGAATGACAAACAGATCCAAGAAGGTGATACTTCCCCTCTATGCAGCATTGGTCAGGCCGTACTTGGAGTACTGCATCCAGTTTTGGGCATCGTACTTCAAGAGAGTTGTGGACAACTTCAAGAGGGTTCAGAGGAGGGCCACTGGTATGGTTAGAGGCTTGAAGGCAAAGCCCTATGAGGAGAGATCGAGGCACCTGGATCTCTTCAGCCTCCACAAGAGAGGGCTGAGAAGTGCTCTTGTGGCCGCCGACAAATTTATCAGTGGGGTGGGGAGAGGGGGCAGCAAGGAATAGGAAATGTTCTTTTTACCAGGGCACCCCTTGGAGTAACTAGGAACAAAAGCTACATGAAGCAGATTTAAGTTAGACATCAGCAAAAGCGTATTTACAGTAAGGGTTTCCAGAATCTGGAATGGGCTTCTAAGGGAGATGGTGCTCTCCCCTACCTTGGGGACCTTTAAGAGGAGGCTAGACATGCACCTGGCTGGGGTCATCTGACCCCAGTGCTCTTTCCTGCCCATGGCAGGGGGTCGGACTCGATCTAGCGAGGTCCCTTTGGACCCAAACATCTATGAATCTATAGTGGACTGCAAACTGAATACTAATCAGTAATATGTGGAGCTTTGTTCCTGCTCTTGATTTTACATGGAAGACCAACCTGGTGATAAGTAAAGGTATAAGATGGATAGATTAAGATAAGATAACCACACTTACAATTCTTCAAAATGTAATTACTATTAGTGCAAAGTACCTAATATACTAAACTCTTTAGGAAAGCAGTGTGGCTCAGACCCCTCTCTCATATGTATTATTGAAATGCCATGCAATACTTCAATTTTAGAGGTGACCAGTGTGGAAAAAATGAGGCTGTATTTCATCAAATGTGTGCAAAAAAGGAAATTCCAGTGATAAGGAGTTTCACTATTTTAAAACCAACTAACTCTTTCTGTTAGTAGTAGTAATACTGTACTTTAATAGTTAATTCAAAGTTTTGCATGATAGATTTATGTCTGGAGAGAATTGATATAGCCCAGAAACAGTCCATGAGAATAATAGCATACATAAAACTCTGTATGATGTTCTACTACAGTGGTAAATATATAATATACAGGTAGTAAATATACAAACAAAAACTGTATTCATAGAACATTAGGGTTATAAAGATAGGCACTCAGAAGTCAGGAAATACCACAAATAAGATTGTTTGGGCAAACTTAAATGTATCTATTGTACATATATATTTTGCGAATCTTTAATTAGATGATCACATACTATTTTTTCCACAGGATTCTTCTGCCACTCAGTGCACTATGTGAATGTTTGCTGACTGGGTAGATACATAGTATAATCCTAAGCATTTACCCCAGCCTTGAGAAGACCTGAGGGCTAGTTTCTCCCCTTCTGCTGTAAATGGGGAGATGACAAGGAGTCATCACTCCCTGCCTCTTCCTAAAACCATGCAGTCCCTCATTTTGGTAATAGGCAAGGGGCTTTGCTGATGCCTACTGCCTTCCCCTTGCCATCCCTACCACCTGGCTGAGGCTCAGGGCATCAATGTAAGAGCTGGCAGCCACGAGCAGGCTCTGGAAATGTCTTCCCAACCTGACTCCTGTCTCCCCCTTGCTGTCCCACCATGAAGTTGAGTGCCATAGTAGAGATTTAAAAGCAGGGCTCTCAGCACCAGCTTTTAAATTGCTGCCCCACTGCTCAGCAGGGTGGCAAGGGGAAACTGGGAATCAAGAGCCAAGCTGGGGAAAACCTCTGCATACCCAGTTCCTGACTCCTTCAGCTTTTAACCTGCTGCCCCCACCATTTGACCAGTGGGGCTGGGAGCCAGGCATTCAGCTTTCCCCAGTGCAGCTCCTGGCATAAAGCAGACTGCTGTGCCTAACCACCACAATGAAATCCTCTTCCCCTCCTCCCACATGCTCTGTACTGCTTTGGGTCAGCCTGGAGCTGTGAGGAGCAGGGGAGACTGCCATGCCACTACTGCAGGGCTCCAGGAGCCTTGCTGCAGGTCAACCTGGAAGATGCAAGGAGCAGAGCTATTCTCCTGCAGGAGAAAACAGGGAAGGTTCCCCACCATGGAAGGATGTCTCTGCCAATTAGCTGGTTGGAAGGATGGGGTGGGAGGCATTCTTCTACAGCAGGAACCCTTCCAGGGCTGTGTGGCAGCTGCTGCTTTTCAGCCAGCCCCTTTCCTAGCCAGGGGAGAGGGCAAGCTATCAAGTAATAGGCTCCCCTAACGGCAAGGGTGGCCCAGAGAGTGCCCCCTGGCTGGGCTATTTTTCTACTGGAATAAATTTCCGCTGATAGAAATTAATGTCTGTACACACAGGTACTCCATCTAACTTCTTGCAGAAGAGCCAATTCTTTTCCACAAGAAATCTCTTAAAGAATCCCACTTCTCCCAGCACAATGGATGGTCTGTACATGGTCACGGTTAGTTAAGAAGGGATCATTATCACTCTTCTACAAATTAAGAAGAGAGGACAAAAGGATTAAAATTAAAGATGCCCATGGATTTTGGGTGCCTAATTTGAATGGCCAGCAGTTAGGACAGTATTTACTAGTAAAGTTAGGCACCTGATTTTATCTGATGTATAACAATTCATAGCACTTTATGTTCTGAGCAGATTTTTCACTGACAAGTAAATGGTCTGCAAATCTGGCTCCAAGTACTGTTACTTGGGCACTCAGAAAATAAGAAAACATTGATAATCATCTGTAAAAAATCTGGTTTAAGTGAATTTTAATGCAGCTATTTAATGTACAGTCTCTTTAAAAAAGTATTTTAAAAAGAGTAAACACAACACAAATTCTATCATATGGGACCGCCTTGACCCCACTCACCCCTTACCAGCAGTATTGGTACCCTTAGATCCACACAGACCTCTGCTACTATGGCTGACAGAATTATTATTATTATTAATCAACAGTAACTTCTCCTGTATTTGTGCTATTAGAGTTTTTTTAGACACACATTTTGTGAGTTTCACAGATGTTTGATGACAACAAGGAAATGCTGAGACTCAGAACTCCTGAGTTCAATGCCAGATACCATAGTGATGTGTCTTTTAAAGGCTGAATTCCCCTTCAACCTGTACCCAATCTGACTCCTTTTACCTTTGTTCCCTCTAACCCTGTTCCAATCCTTTTCCCTCACCCAACTCCTGTATTGGTCTTCCCCACAAGCTCCTCTCTAGAACTTGCTAGGAATTTCTGCCAAAAACAGTTTTAATTGGAAATGCTGTTTTGCCACCCAAATCTTACCCAACATGCCGAGTTTT